TGACAGCTGGAAATAATGCTAATTTAGCAGGGACCGGACAAAATTCAAGCTGTGAGTGGCCAGCTTTAGGCTGACCATTATAAGCCCGACTCCTTCAACAAAGTCAACTGAATAAAGGACTTTTGTTAAACCAGATAGTTGCAGCAGGACCACCGACAGCTCAAATTTTAGCCAATGCTAGTAAAACTGTTCCATGCAGTATCTGAGTGATTACACAAATTCATAGCAAAGAAGATTGACATTAGCCGTCGGGTTGCGGAGTTACAAGGAGCGGCTGACATGAGAGATGGAAAATAACCTGGATATGTGTGAAGTATTCCAAGAAAATCTGCTTTTATGACAAAGTGACTCCATTCCAACAATAGGATCCTCATTTGTGTGGCATGGCTAATGTGCAAAGTGCATTACCAGAAATTTAGTCTTTTTTTGTTTCTTATGTAAACATTACAAGCTTGGTGACAATGAGGTGCATTTAATAAAAGAGTTGCGAGTCTTCACTCAAATAGTTTGAATAGTCCCTTGAATTATTCAGTCATATGAAATGCAAAGCCTGTTTACTTTGAATGCCCAATCCTGTACAGATGCGTTTCACATAATTGGATTATTGAAGTGAATATTCACATGATTTTTTCAATGAAGCGTAAGTCCTTTAGTAAATTCAAGTGTCACCTTGACCGTGCAAGGCAAATTGACAATGTCTCTGCAAAGGGAAACCATTCCCCCCCGGTGGTCACTTTGCCAGAGGTTCCTTGCTCCTCCACAGCCGGTAACAATACCCAGCTTTACAGGTGACCTCTTCCAATGCAACGTTTTTTTCGGGTCAAGCAACCAACCTTTTGAGCGACGTCCCCATTCCTCTGGGTTGCCAACACTAGTCTTAGTGCCAGCTACAGAGATACAAGCGTTGGGCCCCCTGCAGATGCAGTCACTCTGTCCTGCAAGTGAAGCTAAAAGAAATGCCAAATTTGGGGTTGTCATCCGAACAGGAATAGATGGGAAATCTTCCCATGGGGACACTAGTTCTGGTGACCCTGCTGACCTCCAGGGATTTCCGCTTGCTTTAGGAGGAATTTCATCACTTCCTGTTGCGGCTGTCGAACAGGATGTGATGGGAAATCTCCCCAGTGGGACACCGATGGCAAAAAAGCTGAGGGGTTGTATCCCTCCTTTACTCGATCCAAAATTAAACAAAACCGTTTTGACTTCCGTTATCAATAAAGTTTTGGATAGTAAGGGAGAAAGGTTAGAACGAGGAAGGTTCAGATACCAGTGCCGATACTTGGCATTCTCACGAGAACTACCAGGGTTGCAGCTGGGACCTGGCTCTGGCGCTCCATCACTGTCCTGAACTCATTAGTCTTTATTGTTTAAGAAAAACATGACAAACAAAAATGTATCAGTACTTGTATCTGTGAGTACTTGGATGAGTATCGGTACTTGGAAAAATTGGTATCGGTGCAGCTCTTATATATTTTTATAAAAAACAAATCATACATTATAACAGGGATGCACAAATCCCAGGAGCTCCGTGTGCTCCTTTTTAAAAATGACAGCTGCCTCCTAACTTTTGAATTTTTCTCTAGTCCAGGAGCTGGAACAGTATCTGTACTTGTACTTGTATCTGTATCAAGTACTGTACTTGGTATGAGAAGGCTGGCCTGACTTCCTGTACCAGAGACACAAACGACACAGAGTAAAGCTCTTCCAAATGGAAACGGACTAAACTTTTGACAGTTGTCACAGGGAGAGTGGCACACCATTGGGAGATTTTCTCATGCCCCAGCTGTAAATTGTTTTTAACTTTCTGTCCCTATAAAAAGCTGTGATCAGGAATGGAAGTCAGGAGGACATGGGGAGAAATAAAAATGTTGCAGATTTGAACACTTTGCCATTCTACTCATTTGTTCCAACAGGCATGGTCTGTTTAATGAATTGGAGCCTTCTCGCCCATAAAATCCACCGCATTAAAGTAAAAAATAAAAATAAAGTACATTTACCTACCTTACCCCTGGTAAGGTTCTGCACCCCAGGTGGTGGAGGTATCATTCTTCTGGTGAGATCCCAGGGAATCTCATAAGAACATGCTCCAGCATAGTGCAGTAGAGTATGAGTTTTAGCTTCCGTCCACACGTACATGGTGCGATTACATGTGGTTTGGAATAGACAATCATCGCTGGACACTCTCGCTTTCATTTTTAAATCCTAACTGAACAACCTAAAAAGAAAAGCTGATTGGTTATCATGCCATTGTGCCTGGAGTTCTGCTTTAGGGCTGGTTTACGCCTTAGCGTTGCATTAAATGCATGATCATGTGTGTTTAACGCACGCTGTCACACAGCACACTAAACACGTGGTTCCATGTGCTAGGTGCCATTCATTTTGAGTGACAGCCCAATGCACTTTCCAGCTGCTGTGAGTTGCAGCATAGTGCAACACGCGGTACTGCAATACAGGGAGGGGAATATATAAAAACTGCAGCAGACAAAATCTGGGGCAAACTAAAAAGAGAAGCTGAATGGTTACCATAGGCAACTGCTTCAGATTCTGTCCGCTCCAGTTTTGATGAATTCCCCCCAGTGTGTTGTGTTGCTGTGGGGGAAAAAGTATAGCATCGTGTGTACATAGCTTTAGAGCCAGTTGCTTTTTTTTTTTTTACTGCAATGTATTGTGTTACCACACACTGCAATGCAGTTGCTGAGAGATGTGCTGGGGTGCCACTGAAAATGCATGCTAAAACACCTAGTGCATGGTACTGCATCCTGGGTGCATTGTGTGATATGTGCTAAAGGCACAGTATTTTGCAATCAGCACAACGCTGACTGGCGTTTTTAATACGTAGTCTCCTTGGTGAGTGTAAACATTATAAAAACTCTTTTTTGTGTAGAGTTGTTAATAATATATATAGTGCTGACTTATTGAAGGCAGCAGTGGTTGGACAAAAGTTGGAACCTGCCAGATCAAATATTTCCCATCCCAGTCAACCAATTTGAAACCAGTTGACTGGATATGCCTGCCTGGCCCAGCCAGACTAGATGAAGATCTTCTCATGCCAATGGTAAACTCTACACTGGGAATGGCAAACTTTTTATTCTACAGTCAAAACTTTGCAACACATTCTCCTTTCCGGAGGACTAAAGCCCATTTGGAGAGTTTGAGTGACATAACAGGAACATCCATTTGTGACCTTGAACATGCCGTGTTTGTTCAGGTCTCCTGCGGTAAATAGTGAGCCTTGCCAATGATTTAAGGGCTTGTGACATTGTCACCACAATGTGATCCATTCTGCAGATGCCTCTCCGGCACATATGGCGACAGTCTTACATAAACACTTGGCTGTAAACCGAATCCTAGGTATGTTGGAAACATACGCCTGGAGCTGCAAATTGCTTTATCACTTTAAAAACAACCTAAAGGTGCAGAATAGACTGGAGTATCCATTACAGATGAGCAGAAAGCAGAACCCCCCCACCCTACCTTTCAAAGCACAAACATATCACAGCTGCTGGTGTGTGAATACAACTGAAATGTTCACACAAATTGAAGAAAATATAAGTTTAAGCCAATAAAGGCTCACTCCAAACATACATGAAAGACTTATTTGAATGCAGCGCTATATTCAGTAATACATAATATTTTTTTAATTTGTAAGTAGCATAAGATCCTACTTTGCCTCGAGTTCAGCGATACAGATACAGAAGACCCAAATCAAATCAGCCTTGTAATCAATCTTTTAATGCAAGCCGTGTAAGTACCTAAATGTGTCCCGGTATCCGTCTCTTGCGGACTCTCCCGGTATCCGTCCCTGTACAGCAGAGCTCAGAGTGGGAGGGGAGGAGAAGCGCAATCCATTCATGTGGAGTAAAGGATCATATTGATCGGAGTAAAAAGCAGAAAGATGAGCTCAGCACTGTTCTACTTTTCCTTCGCGGTTTAGTCATGCGCTGAGGGTGGACTCATGACAGCCTGGGCTCGGAGGAAGAGAGTTGAATGATGCTGGCCATCAACCTGGGAGACTGGGGACATTTAGGGCCTGTTCACATGATATCAGGTCCTGATCAGGTGCGGATCTGCAGACACGGTGCTACTGATGCAGTGCGTTTTGGCCGCATTTTTTTTTTTTGCTGGAGTGCGACTATCAGTATGTTAGATGCAGTGCGTTTTTGATGCGTTTTGCGTTTCCGCTCCGTTTCCTGACCGTACAAAATGTGACATGCAGTATTTTTTCTGTCGTAACGGACTGCGCACGTGAGAACTGTAGCCCATAAAACACATAGGGATACATTGGGATGCATTTTTAGCGCAGCAGCGTACGGATCAGGTCAGCACAGAAAACGGACGTCGTGTGAACAGGCCCTCAGGGGCAGAAAAATTACTGTAGAAAAAAGCTTCTGACTGAAGGTAAGTACTGAGGCAAATTATGTTTTATTTTATTTTGCAATGGGCTATGATTTTTCTTTTTTTTCTTCATTTATGTGACTGGGGTTTTACCTTCACTACACTCAATGCACTCTCTTTTTAGTCATTCCCTAGTCCTCCTCAACCTAGCCACTGAACGGTCACTTTCTCAAACAATTCATCCCGACATAGCTACCTCCTCATGTATCACTTGCCCCCTCCCTTTTAGATTGTAAGGGGTTAGCTCAGGGGTTACCAACCACCTTACCATCTTGTCTTGAATTGTATTGTTATTGTAATGTATTCCTTATATTGTAAAGCGCTGCGCAAACTGTTGGTGCTATGTTAATCCTGTATAATAATGATGATAATTAACCATTATGTAACTCTGCTGTATAATCCTTTCTTTCTGTGCTTTCATTGGGAGCCCAGACTCCTTTTATATTAGGGTTTTGGCAGAACATGTACTGTCATTTGGAGGGAACTCTTGTTAGGGAAATTCTGTCTTTTGACAAAATTGATATTTGACATATTACTTTTTTTTTCTTTCTACAACACCGAGTAACTGTGTAATTTTTTTTACACCCCCTCCCCTTTATTTTTAGGATGTCAATACAGGTGGAGAGGGCAGCGAGTTTACAGACAGTGGTATCGAGGGAACAACCACTGACACAGACTTCATGTCCAGACGCTCAAACGCCACCACATCCAGCTACTCCCCCACCGTCAGCCGGGCCTTTATCGGGAGCGACAGTGGTAGCAGCTCTGGAGATGCCCTCCTCCAAGGAGTCTATGAGAACTTCCGGCGGGAGCTGGAGATGAGCAGCGCCAGCAGGGAAAACCTGGAGGAAGCCAATTCAGCTCTTAGTGATGAACAAAGCAGTGGCACTTTAAGTTCTCCAGGGCAGTCTGACATCCTCCGGACTGCTGCTCAAGGGACTGTGCGAAAAGCTGGGGCGCTGGCCGTAAAGAACTTCCTTGTACACAAGAAGAACAAGAAGGTGGAACTTGCCACCCGCAGGAAATGGAAACATTACTGGGTCTCTTTAAAAGGTTTGTGAACTTTTAACACTACTTCTATATTGCTTATTACTAATTTCGGTGGCACTGACAATGTCCCTTCATCAGGGCTTGATTACTTGAGAGGAATCGGTTGATAATTAGTGCATGTGATGATCCAACTGCCAATCATGTTACCTGTTTTGCAAAATATATCCTCACTAAGGGGTTATCATCTCAATGGTCCTTTTGACCATTACCTTTTTTTTTCCTATACATGCATTTCAAATGTTCAATTAGCTGCAGGCTTGGATACGTTTTTTTATCCATCCAGTATTTAAAGATACCGTTACTGGTTTTCAGTCTGAAACAAAACCTGCAAGGAAAAGGGGTAATACTTGCCTTTAGCATGGGCCACAACTATACTGGCTAAAAAGATCTTTGACATTCAACACTTACAGGAATGTTGGACTTCTGATCCCCTTCTGGGCGCTGTGGTTCTTTCCTCTCACCCCTGCAGAACAATAGAAAAAGAAGAGAACAATAGTATTGACGTAGGGGACAGAGGAAGGACCACAGAGCACAGTTGGGAAGCAGGCATTTGACACACCCAGAAGTGTTGGCTGTCAAATATGTTTCATCCAGCATAGCTCCTTTTTATACAATGAGTATCAACAGGGTGGGCTCCAGAAAGGGTAAGTAGTCTGCAAAAAAAAGAAAAGGATACAAGGCTTGATTTCAGTTTAACAAAATAGGGACAGGCTGATCGATTTCTTTCCCCAATAACCATTAGAAAATAAAGCAATTGTTTTGATACTGAAATTAAATTCTAGCCGTGTATGCCTGGCTTTAGTATAATATTGATGCTTCGGCTGCTCGATGTTGGTGACCACACAGTTGAGGATTATAAATCTTTCCAACTGGGACATAGACGAGCAATAAATGAGCAAAAGGGCAGTATGTGTTCAAAAAGTTCTGTTTGACATTTGGGCAAATGTCAGAGAGAACAAGGAGATGGGAGTTCTGTTTTTCCAACAGTGCGGTAAGTGCTTGAAATGTTCAAATCTCTTTTGTCTGAGCAAGCTAAAGTGCTGTTCTATCTACAATAAACTTCTTCATAAAGCTGGGGACGCAGAGTACAAATAATTAATATTAAGAAGTTATAAAACTAACAGGACAAATCATTTACAAAAGTAAAATGCTGTGTATAAAAAAATATATATCACTAAAGCATACCTCCGTAAGATTCTAGGTGGTCCAGAGGCTGATGTATCGGTTTCTGTTATTTGGCATCATTTTGTGAATTGTTCCACTGACAAGATGAACATGTTTCCTTTGGGATAACTAAAAAGTCCAAAATGCAGTCATAGATCTTGCCTTTTGCGTGCTGTGGCCATATGTGTATGGCACCCTTACAGAGAAGAAATGTGGTTTTAATCAGCAAAATGCTTTTTGATCAGTCCTATATATCCAGCTGATTACTCTTTTTATAGCAGGGCTTGATTTTAAAGTGTGATGACAAGGTTTAAGAAATTGCAGATATTACATTTCATTTTAATGACTTTTACTGATGGCTGCAGGTTATTTGCAGGAGTATAATTTTCTTTGGAAATCATTTTTTTGGGGGCACATGTACCAATGTAGGTCTTGGTAAGGAAGCACAGCTACCAGTTCAGAAACCAGTGCCGATTCTTGGCATTTTCATGAGAACTATCAGGGTTGCAGCTGCGACTGGGCTCTGGCGCTCCACCACTGTCCTGAAATCATTAGTCGATATTGTTTTAGAAAAACTGTCACATGACCATAAACAAACAAGTATCTGTAATTGATTTGAGTGTGTGAGGCCAAGTATCTGTACTTGTACAACCCCAATTCCAAAAAAGTTGGGACGTTGTGTAAAATCTACATAACAGCAATGATTTGCAAATCTCATAAACTCCTATTTTATTTGGAATAGAAAATAGAAACTATATCAAATGTTTAAACTGACACAATTTACCATTCTAAGAAAAAAAATAATGCAATTTTTAAATTGATGGCGGCAATAGGTCTCAAACACAGGGGCAGGGCCATGATTACCACGGTGTAGCATCTCCTCTTCTTGCACTGCACAGCTTTTGCAGCAAATATGTCCCCACTGGGTTGTGACCCTATTAATTTCTATGGATAAGCCATGCTTTATAGTGGCCTCCACCTATCCAGTAGAGCATGGCTCTCCAATAGGAATGAATGGGGCTGCACTTACCAGTCAATGACAGACACCTGGCAGTGTCTTTTCGGTCCTTGTTCCTCTATTCTTTTCTTATATTTTGGCACAAAAGCTAAACATATAATAGGGTTTAAAGGAAAATTATGGGCAGAGTGAAATACACTCATCCCCATAATTAGAGCCTGAAGGTGTCACAGTTCGGCTCTATAAATGGAGAACCGAGCGATCACATACCACTGATTATTCAGTTCCTTATTTTCTCCCTGCAGAGATCAGTCACCGCTTCACGCAGGGATTCTCCCCTCTCCAATCCTCCGGTGCTGACTAGAGGGATAGAGGGGGAGGGGTGGGCACAGCTGTCAATCAGGCAGTGGGGTGGATCCCAACAATATTGTCGGGATCTTTCCTAGCCGCAGCGTGGCTCTACGCTGTCAGCATATAGTGAAAAAAGTAGCCTGCTTTATACTGAGCTTTGAGTCACAGGAGGGCATAGTAAATGTCCTGTTGTGACCCTAAAGAGCCTTGGGCCACAACAGGCCTTTTTGGGCCTGTTGTGGCCCAAAAAAGGTTGGCCCATAGCTCTGTTTTAATTTTTTTTTTTCTATAAGAATATGGGTTTTTCAATTGATGATTTAACTATTAATCTATAATCTTTCACGAACCATTAAAAACTCTATGGCTCAGGATTCACAAAGCATATGGGTGTTGTAATGAGGGCAAGGCAGAAATAGTTTCTTTTCAGGCTCTCTCTCTCTCTGATTGAAACCTCCTATGGAGCTGTCTGAAGGAAAGGGAGGAGTCGCTGCTCTGACTCGTTCGCTGCTCTGACTCGTTCGCTGCTCTGACTCGTTCGCTGCTCTGACTCGTTCGCTGCTCTGACTCGTTCGCTGCTCTGACTCGTTCGCTGCTCTGACTCGTTCGCTGCTCTGACTCGTTCGCTGCTCTGACTCGTTCGCTGCTCTGACTCGTTCGCTGCTCTGACTCGTTCGCTGCTCTGACTCGTTCGCTGCTCTGACTCGTTCGCTGCTCTGACTTTTTCACTTGTGTGTAAATTTTAGCTTGTGCTATTGCTTTGTTAACAGTATGTAAGGAGAGCATGAATCACATTTTTGTTTTTTAGTCCTGACCACAGTATGTGCAGAAAAGGAAAACCTTTTTAAAACCATTATATATTTCCTTTAATGTCCATGTCCAGAACACTCGCTGTATATTCCACATATTCCATATCTGTATAAATAATTCCTCTTAGAGAGAATCCACTAGACTCCTCCTGTGTATTACTGAAAAAAAGAATTCAACTTCATTATACACTGGTAGTCAGTCGATTCGCTTTGTAAAGAGAGGGTCCACATAGGCATTGCACAGACATGCATATTACAAGACATTAATTTAAAGGTCTTTATTAAATCTATATGCATAAAAAGGTCTCCAGACAAAACGGGAAAACCAGAAATACAACATTAAAAACAATTAACTAATTTCCACTAATGGGATAATCGCTACACAACCTTCTACAATTTTATAATAACCTTTGAAATATTTAATAGCAACCACTGTAGTAGAGTCAGTGTGAATCCTCCTGGTTTAAGATCGAAGACTAAGAAGAGTCTGATAGGATGGAATACCTCCAGTGCATAAAGCAATTTAAACATTTCATGTAAATTCTTAAATATAATGTATTATATATAACTATCCCCATATATCCTAAAACTGATCCATAAAACAGGGTTTGAGCTAAAGCAACAGAAGCCATCTGATCCTGATAGGCCCATCTGTTGTTTCAATTGTGAACTCTTGATTGGACATGGATCTAAATCTGAGCAACATCCTACTACTAGTCAAACTTAATAAAAGGAAGGGATCCTTTCTAGCATGCATGCGTCATGTGACTTTCTCATTTCATTCTAAATGAATTAGAATACTGATTTATCAATACATTTTGAGTTATGTTGACTCAGTTTTACCTAAATCAAACCAGTCCAGTTTTGAATAGAGGAGGGATAGGTTAGACAAAAATGGCAACTGCTCCAATTAATTTACATGGAAGGGTTTTTTCCACAGAACAGGCATCATACAAACAATTCCCAGCACACACAAAAAAAAAAAATCAAATTTACATTGTTTAACAATTTGCGTTAAAACCTGAGGTTTTAATTGCACATATTTGCAAATATACGTGAAAAGCCACACTGCCTCGTCCCTAACTATAGTCTGAGAGCCTCCATCTTGGAATATACAGTATATAGCAATGCATAAATTAAAGTGAAGTATTCCTGGAGGTAACCAATTGCTCCTTGGGGATGTTGAGGGGTACGTGTGATCCCTTCTGAGTTTTTTTAATTGCTTTTTGTTTTGTTTTATGGGTTTTTCTTCACTTCCCGTGGGGACAGGAAGTGATGGGAAATCTATTTAACAGGCTCACATTTTTAATACAGTGGAGATGGGTTACAGCGTCCGACAATTATTTTATTGCTGCCCCGTGCTTTCCTGAGGACACTCGTAAATCATCCCCCCAGTTCTTGTACAGACATTGCAGGTATAGGTAATGAGGAAAAATCTTGGCAATAAGACCACAAACATAATTTTAATTTTTATCTATTGTCTCCAAGGCAAAAAATTGCCGGGGCCTTAGTACTAGAGCCTAGAGTTTAAAGTAGATTTAAACTCCTTTTTGTTTGTGCATATATCTCCTGGTAGCAAGCAGTATTTAGGATCATCGTATCCACATGTATACCTAAAAAGACCCTAAAAATTCAATAATCTTCCTTTTAATTTTATAAACGGTAGCAGAATCTACAAAGTACCTATCTTAATTGCAACAACCACTACCCTGGGATCTCTTGATAACCAGTCTGGACACTGTTTTCCTTTTGGCAGCAATAGCCTTACCAAATGCCTTGACATCTAGTCATGTGCTATGGGTTCCCTGAACGGCGATCTGTCCAGGGTTGTATGCATTTCGTACTTCCTGCTACTGTTTGCATTACCTAGGTGGTCCGATCAGCAGAAAATTCTTAATTCTTATAATGATAGGTCCTCTTTAAAAGAAAGTGTAGCTTACTGTATAAAAGCCCTGTAGCTGAAAATTGGCCGGTTGCGTTTAGTAATCTGGAAAGGAAATATTGAAGCTTTAGTAGAGCTGTGCTTGTATCTCTATCACCTAATAGTGAGGGAGTTCCACCGCCTTGTATAGCTGTGCACACAGCCAATTAATCCCTTCAGGGAGAGTCTTGTTTATGTTTTTGTGTGTTAAGCTTGGATGAGCTCCTGGCACGCTGGATCAGTTCATGTTGGGTTTTTCCCCAAGTGCATGAGTTGAATATCAGCAAGTCTGGATTGTGTGAAAGTTCCTATTGTTATCGTTTAGGGGGTAACATCAGACTTGGATAGCAGTTTGTAAAACTAGGCTCTGCTATGAGTCATGTTTGACCCTTGAGCCCTTTTGTATCTGTATCTGCAAGTGTCATTGTAGTCAATATCCGCTATGGAAGTGACTAACCCTATGAAACTGTCCACGTACATTTTGGGCTTTCTTTGTATTAATGGAGTTAAACTGGTTTCATGTTGAAGTCGGTGTAAATGACGGTTAATGACAATTGTTCCAGTAAAAAGTTATGGCTATATAAGCTTTTGAGGAACTCCTGTTACCAGTATGCCCTGCCAGTTTTATTGCAACAAGTTACATAGATTTGTGAAGATTTTTCTCATTTCAGTGATCTAGAATTCAATGGTTTATACGTTCTGCCATCAGATGCCTGTGAATTATGCTACATGTAGATTCATTTCATTATAAGGGTCACTCAATAGTGATTATTTAAAGCCCATCTCCGGGCAAACAAAAAACATACCTTTTGCGGTAGGGCTTGTTTATGTATATGGGATACTGTTGCAACTGCTTTACTTACCTGATTTCCATTCCTGCCATCTCCATCCAGGCTGCTAGTGACCCCTGCAGCCTCTTTTCCCCTGGGATCCAGTGGTCTAAGGACAGCTGGGGGGGAGGGGGGGGGAGAGAGAGAAGTGAGCGCTGGAAGTCATGAGAGCCAGGGTCAGGTAATTAAAACCGTTTTATTTGAGTCCCCTACTTTTTTTTATTTGGCTGGAGACGTTCTTTAAAAGAGAACTATGGGGTAACCTTTTTTATCCCATAGTTCTCTTAAAGGAGAACTACGGGGTTAAGGTTTTTAGCGTCCTCCCGTCACCCTAGGCTCAGTATACCACGAGCTGTAGCGTGACTGACAGCTGGCTCTGCCTATCTAGAGGCAGAGCCAGCTGTACCCGCCCCCTCCCCCGTCTGTTCCGCCAGTCAGCGCTGGCGGATCGGAGCGGGGAGTGGGGAATCCAGCCCCTCCCCTATCACGGCAGAGAGGCGTGACAGGATCGAGAGGTGAGCGAACGCCGGTATGTGTTCGCTCACCTCCCGATCTACTGAGCCGACCTGTGACAGTCTCATTGTCGCAGGTCGGCTAGAACCATGAGGTGAGTGAAAATCACTCACCTCATAGTTCTCCTTTTAAATGTAGAGGTATTGCCACTGAAGTCAATGAGAACTTTAGGAAATGATTCAGTGGTCTAACTATCCGGCATCTTCCAAAATAAAGAGTTAAGAGGGATTAACTCATTAGAACTGCAAAAGTATAAACTTTTGCAGCATGGAGGCGTCTGACACTCCACCTCCCTGGTACCTGTGTCGGACCTAAAGCTGGCCATACATATATCGATTTTGGCATTCCTCCATTTGACCAGTCCACAAATTTTTAGTCGAACAGTGTCTTCAGCCAGTCAGCTGAAGAATCAGAAATTTCGGTTTAAACTTGGCTAAACACATTCCTGGTGCAGCAAAAAAATAAGGTGTTCAATGTCCTACAGTTATTTATTTTTTCTACAGTCGGAGTAGGGAAGCCAACCCCCTGCCAGCATGCTACTGAGTGAGACCTTTGCGCTCTCTGGGGAAGCAGTGATCTCTTTGCAGAGGGTCTGATATACCTCTTGAGTCCGAGCTACAGCTCTTAAATCTGGCTCTAACTCGGCGTGGACTTGCCAGGTCTCTGCAGAGACATGACTGCTTCTCACAAAGTGCAAGGGTCCTTCTCTGCAGCTGCTGGCAGGGAACATGCTTTTTTTAAACAGGTTGTGGCTGCTTTTTAGAGAAAACAGACTTTGGACATATTTTGTCTAGATGCACCTGGTATTTAGGTGATATAAAGTAAAAGTTCATTTGGGCTTTAATGTTAGAAATGTTTCTCTAGGTAGCACGTACTTAAATTAATTAATGTTGCAGTAGATGTAGAAAGGGTATTAGTCTTCTGACTCAGACTTTCACTGTCCATGACCTTTCTGGATAAGAGACATACGAAATGTCCTACCTTATGTCATGAATGTTTATTCTATACGAAATACTGCCCTCCTCTTTTTACAGCAGTGTTAAGGCTGCTGAAAAACATTGCATCACCATAACATGTATAGGGAAGTTTTCGGAACTGTCCTTCCTACCCCTTCTCACAAGGAAGAGATGTTTGCACAGCCGGCTCAATGCTCCCCGTCTTGTAAAATTGTGCCAGGCAGGAGAGGAGGAAAATATGTTTAAAGCAACAATTTCCTTTGCCAATGTTTGCAGAAATTGCTGCCAAATATGAACTGTTCAGCTTATGAAGAACTCCCCGATTACCAATCACTATACAAAAACACTGTTCCAGTCTCGCCTTTTGGAATCAGATGCCCTAATAGGTGCCACCATCTTACCTCTTGCACAATTACAGTAAGCACATGAAATACATTCCCGCTTTCCTATGACGGGCATTAGTTTCTGCTCTCTGCATACATCACCAAGAAGAGCTTGGCGATGTAGAGCTTAGCATGTGACTATAGACAAAAAAATTTACGTTTGCATATGCAAGTAACAGTGCTGTTTAGTCTGCTTAGACTGCACATTATGCAAAAAGGAGCAGTGTGTTTAAAACGGCCGATGGAGCAAGTTGTAAAAGTGCCTCTGCATGCATGCTTGGGGATTGGAAAGATTCACTTGAAATTTTGGAGCATTAGTGTTTTGTTTTTTCTACACTTCTTTCCAATCCTCATTTGAGAAGTGGAGTCAAGCTATGTATCATCCATCTCTTTTATTAAACATTATTCTCTGAGATGATATCACCTTCTGCAAGGCTTCCCATTTATTTCAATCATAAAACAGTTGTAGTTTAATAATGTACTATTATACACACAGTCTTAATCTTGTGATTTTTAGGTACCACCTGCCAGAGGGATGTGGTGTTCACCTCGGTAATATCCTTTGTAGGGATGTGCAGATAACATGCATTGTTCCAAGAGAGAGATCTTTATTACCATTGAAACTAACGGATGTTCGTGTCTTGTTTGCAGGGTGTACACTGTTTTTTTATGAGAGCGATGGCCGATCTGGGATTGACAACAACAGTATACCGAAACATGCCGTGTGGGTGGAGAACAGCATTGTACAAGCCGTCCCGGAGCACCCCAAGAAGGACTTTGTGTTCTGTCTCAGTAATTCGCTCGGAGATGCTTTCCTCTTCCAGGTTTGTGCTTTTAGTATTATTAAACCATGTGGATTTCTTTCAGTTGTTGGCCTTTTTTTTTGGAGCATAGGTTGTAAAAATGTTCTAATAAAATGTGCCTAAAAAAGTATGACTGGGACAATAAATATGTTTTAAGTTTCAAAGCCAGTTAGTGTTATAACACGCTTGCGAAATAGTTTTCGTGAAAGGTAACAAAAAGAATAAAGCAGATGGGTTCCTTCCGTTTCCCTAAGTGATGGATAGGGAAACAGATGGATGTGAAATACTTCCTTTTTATCCTGTGAGTTTTTAGATTAAAAGCACTTTCAGTGGTGCTGCTCACAATAGTTTTTGTTAGTCATGTGATCGCTGGCCAAAAAAGGGATTCGTTTTCAGGCAGAGCCACAGTTTGGCCAGCTGCACCTATCAGCCCTTCCAGTAGCGCTGCTTAATATCGCTATATATTAGAACATTGGTCATGTGGTCTCCTGCAAAGGAAGAGATCAGTGTTTAGGCAGAGCTATAATGTCCAGCCCCCCTTCTAAATGTCATCTTCTCTAGCCCCTTTCCTGAAGACCTTGTGATTAATGCTGTGCAATTTGGTCACACGATCAGCAATAACTGGGTCCAGAAACTATAAACTAGGAGTGGACAAATATTATGAAATTCATGAGCCAGTTTGTCCAATCCAGGAGCCAGCTCCATTGATGGCAAATAGAGAAAACCTCAAACATTAAGAACCAGTTGTAAATTTTAAGGAGCATTGGCTACCTAGGTCCTGGGAATGTCCAGCCCTGCTACATAGACATTTGTTTCCCTGTTTTAAAGAACGGCAGTATTTTTAATTTGAACGGTCACAAAAAATAATCCTGTTATCAGTCTAGAAAAGCTACCCCCGCCACCATGCCTGTTGCTGCTTGGAGTTCAAGCACATGTTTAATTGTTCTTTGGATGTGTGACTGCTCTTCAAAGTCATTCTGAACCAGGAAAAAAATGATCCCATTATGTTATCCTGCCTTTTATTTGTACTGTAATGAGAAACGCCAAAGGAAATGTAAAGCTGAGGACTCTGGAAATAAAATGCCATCAGTCACGATACCGTGTACCATGTACAGATCAATGAGGAAGGTGGAGGTCAAAGGTTTGAGCTCTACAGCTGCTAAACAATGACATTGGATAGAGTTTTCTTTACATCTAGGAACAGTCTAAGACTGCGTTTGGGAATAAACCTGAGTCATGTTGGTTCCCATACAGCCTCTATACATCTGTTTTAAATCCAGACGCCTCATTATACAAGACTGGCAGTTCCTACACCTCTCACATGCCGCAGACGTTTCACAGCACTGCATTACTTTTAGATCTTGATCTCTGCCTACCATCTTGGGCTAACAGGCTCAAGAATGTAAAAGCTGAAGAAGGCCCACCTCCTGGCTACTTTACATTACACTTCTGCAGTAGACGCTGGCAAACTGTTCACCAAGAGTACTAGAGTACAGCTTATCCAAGCAAGTTATTTTTTTTTAATTTAAGGTTTACCTGTTAATTTTATTAGCAAATGACATGCAGAGGGGATTCCATGGACTAAGGGTTTGGCATGGAGGTGTCTAGCTCTCACCAATTACTTTTTATCCCAATTTTTATAAATGTTAAGCATATTGACCTCACCCCTCTGTCATGTCACTGGCATGTCATGACCCAGGCACTGTCACGTTGGAGGTTATATACCATACCCTAAAGCACTAGGTATTTTGTGACGGCTGAGCTAAAGGCAGGCTCGTATCATGTCATACCAGTAGTTTTTGTGTGTTTTTTTGTGTGTTTTTGTGTTTTGTTTTTTATGCGGTGTATACACCCTCTTTATTATAGATGGGAATGGAAATCTGTACCAATTGGGTCCATTTGGTTCACTTTTTATTACTTTTACAGTGATATGATTTCTTATAAATTGACTTTTTTCCGGTAAGGAGTCAGCTGTAATCAAACATCTACCTCCCACTTGTTGTAGCTTATGTGGTGAGTGGAGATCACAGTCTAGTGCTACTCATGAAATTCAGTGCTGGTAATGTACTTGAAGCTTAGTCATAGCAAAATGTACTCTGCCTACAGGATTTACAGTTGTGACAGTCCTAAAAAAGAAGTGCATACTCCTGTTGCGTTCTGCAAAGCAACTTTTTTTTTCCACTGTCCCCAAACAGGCTGACAGTCTAATCTCCTTAAATCACAGACATCAGGTCTAGTTTAGGGTGGAAGCCTATTCATTTACCAGTATTGACCAGAACTGAGCCCTTGACCCCGTCCTGCAGTATTTGTTCTGACGCTTTTGACTGTTTCCACCCAAATTTAGGCCTTTGACAACAGAATATACTTTAAATGGATTTTGCATTGCCAGTATTCCCATGCAAGTCTGTAGGGCTGCAAAACCTGATCAAAGCAGGTCCACTGCAGGTTATGAGGAGTAGTCGGTGAACTTTGAATTCTCTCTGAACTGATGCCATCATCACAGGCCCATTGACGTAGCCCTAAGCCCTTATACTATGGTGGGCAACCAAAACTAGTTCTTAGCTGCAATTTAGTCTGCTGCCATGTCTGTGCAGTGTATTGTAAAGCCACACCATCACTTCTACATGGATACAAAGGGACTCTGTAGCTACATTCAAGAAGTTCCACTTCACCGGTTTTCTTTGCAGTAATGCAGTGAAGTACTGAGCCCTGAACACTGCACACAGTACCGAGAGCAAGACAAGCTGAGGATCAGGAATGCTGTGTCTCGAATTCCATTTATTTTATATTTTGGCTGGGTTTAATGGAAGAACAGACCTCTGATGTATCCATAAAGAGAACCTGTCTCCCCTAGTGTACACTGTTACATAGCGGGCCTTATTGTTAGACTTAAAAATGTATAAAATAAAACGTTGCATATGTAGAAATAAACTAATAATGAAATTATGAAAAAGTTCATACATGAATTCAGAGGAAATTTGAGCCGTGTATTTTGTATCGGATTGAGAGGGTACACATAAAAAACTTCAAGTTTTTTTTCATTTTTGTGTGGGACCCCACTGAGGAGATTTCTATCCCGGAGGTCAGGATAGCTGGGCACATTCGGCCCTGGGCTTTGAATGGGGAGATTAGAACTTGGTTTCACCTGGATCGGAATATTCAGCTTATTGCATAAGCTTTGGCATGACTGGTTCTCTTTAAGCTTGCTTTTTCTTTTTTCTTTAAACGCGGTAGAAAAATGTATCATCGTTAACATGTCGCTGTAAGCAAATAGAACCTTGTCTTACAGCTTAGCTTTTCACAGCATGAAAATTGCCAAATTAGGAATTTTCCACAAGGCACTAGGCCGCATTGGACAGAAGGAAAGCGGAGCCTCAGGCCCCGGCCTTCAAGAAGGCTGCCATAAGGATAAGGCTTTGAAAGCAAGATCTAAGTTGAAATGGCGGTAAGGGAACTACTCTTCTTGCAGCGCAGTTTCAGGGTTGCTATGGCAACTGTCAAAGCCAGTATGCTTCTTGGAATGTTTATTGCGCGGCGTACCTCTCTAGGTAAAATTATCTCGGTGCTTTACAGAATACACAGTCTGGATACTGATCTGTAGTACTGTCATGGAAAGCTAGGTTAGCACAAGAGTCCTCACTGGCTGCCGCATTCAGCTTGCTATGTTGCGGCTGTGCAGCAGTCACCTTCACACAGCTCTTTCCTGATGCCACATGTGGTTTTCTAGAGTAAAAGGGTTTCGTAATTACCTTCCCCATGCATCATAGTGAGTGTTGGTGATCTTGATTAGGATTCCTTGGCTCACTCCAATGTGGCTATGCCAAGCTGCGTACTTGTCAAGTGCTGCTGGGGGCACAAAGCACTATCGGACAGGTAGACCCTTATTCAGCACACACCTCTCCATTGAGGAAGCTGTCTGCCAACCACCGCCGACCATGTTAGGAGAAAAGGTTGGATCGGTCATACGATTAAGTTTTTTTTACCTCTTTTTCAGGTATTTTTGAACACTTTATTAATGAGACATGTATAATTGGGGAGAGGGGTGATATAAGAATGCAATAAAGAGTTATAACCTAACACGTGCATGCTAAACTTGAATGATTACGCCATCGGCATAGACATTTACTTGTATGATCTGATAGCCCATCACTCCCCGGAACACCCCCCATATGATCTCAACACGTGAAAGAGATGCTGCCAGCGTGGTGGTTTTGGCGGAAATGCTGCCAGAATCTCACCAGTGAAATCTCTGCAACATTTTAACCTGTCATCAGACTCAAAGGATGACCCGTTGTAAAGGGGGAGGAGCTTATGGCTATACAAATAACCGTCAGAAGTGATTTACACAAGTTCTTTAAATATGGCTTCTGGTGGTACTTAAAAATAGAATCATACATTCAAACGTATTCAACAACCAGTTTTCCTCTCAGCTGTGTCATGCAAATGTTCATAATTATTTTCACTGCCATAGGTTCATTTCAAGGAAAGTTGACCATAAAATAAATAATAAAAAAAAAGAATGAGAATATATATATATATAATGTATGTATATGTAGCGCCCTCTAAAATGTCGCAATTGGAACCAACAGGTAGGAGAACCTATTTCAAACTCAGCGGCTCCTTCGGGGGTGAGCGCTACATATATATATATATATAATTTTAGTTTTACTTGCCAAAGGTTTTGTACTTCTGTGCAGCCAGTCTTGTGCTTTGCACCTGTGACACCCTTGTTTGCTGGTCCAGCTTTGTAGCTCTCTGTTTCACTCTCTGCCTCCAGCCGGCTATTTTGACCAGGGAGCAATAAAGCTGACCCGTGAAACTGCTAGCTATGCAGTTAGGCAAGGGTTAGATAAACCACAAGACCAGCTGAACACAATAACAAATCCCTGGGGCGGGATCAATATATGTATTGAAACTGTATATTTAGTGATTTGCTTGAAATTAAAATTTTCTGTGACTGGTGCCCTTCAAAGCTTACAGTGCTGAGGTGGGCTGCAATGTTGAGAGATAACGTGATATTTTCTCATGTTTATTGGGTTCACTCACATTTACATAAGTTAATGCAAAAACTAAAAACAAAAAGTTACTGAAGAAAAGCTGACGGTACTTTTTAGAAACATTAAAAGCCTACATGGGTGCATTCTTTTTATGTGTTTAATGCAGCTTTAAAATTGATGAATGCGCACAGTAAAAATAAATCGCTTGTTTTCTTGTTGCTGTACTTACTGTTTAGTTAGCATGTGTTTAGTAATCTGCGTTTGAACTCCTTCTTCTTTTTTTTTTTTTTTTAAACTGGCTCCCTACATTTTCTTGCTTTTGATGCTGCCTGTATGATTTAATGATCACAACATGTAACATAAAATGCAGGTAATTGCAGCATGCAAGAACTTGAGAAAACATGACTTTTATTTGCTGGCTTTTTCATTACTTTAAAAGAGTCCTAGAGATCTTTGAGCCTCACCTGTTCCCTGGAAGTGCTGCAAATCCTGCAGCTCACAAGTGATCCTAATTTGGAGGGAATGTCACTTTTTTTTGGCACCAATTTCTTTGATCTCTTATTTAAATCTACCCTGTCAGCAACCTTCTGCGCTCACAAACTTTGCGCATTTACACGCCGGTGCTAATGTTTGCGGGCGTACACCCAAGCACAGCGTTTCCTGTTCATACATTGCTATGAACAGAAAACCGCAGCAGCTGTGGCTCCTGGGTGCCACAATTGCAGGCACGTTTTATGCTGTATGAAAACATGCCTGCATTTGCTCTGCCGTATGCCTATTTGCATGAGCCCTAGATGATCTTATAGATCTCATGAAATCTATTTTCATTTTCTCTGCCCCTTAGTTCACTGATATTGTCCACGAATTGTTTAGTGGACCTGAACTTAAAGTGATTTGCTGTTTGTAGAGAACCTCTAGAAATGGTAATTGTGCTAAATTGACTAAATTTATTTTGCAAAATGTAATTGCGTTCCTGTACCTTTTTTCTCTCATAACTGTATATCTGCAGTATGGGATCAGCTAAGGCACTGCTGCCTCTGACTGCTGGTCTCACAAGATGTGGAGTGAGATTTGGTGATGTGACTACTGTGCTACTCACTGTTCTCTTTGCTGGAGAGGAAGCTGAACCTGAGGACCTGCAGTGCAAGGATATTTCTGCTTCATTCTGTGGCTCTGTGCTTCATCCACCTTCTTTTTTTTTTTTTTGCTGCTTCTTGATCATTACCACACTAGTCATCTAACCATCAGTCATCAGGGGGACAGCTCTGAAAAAGAAGTGTAGCCCTGTTCCTCTGCCAAGTTGTCTGCCTCTTCACCGAGGCACAGTACAGAACAAGCCATGGCAAGTCCGTAGGTGAGTAAAGATCAGCTGGAGGGATCCTACAGGAAATATTAGTAATTAGTCCTTTGCCCTCTGCTTGACCTTTGGGCTGAGCTTCCATTCTACAGGTCGTCTTTAACCTTACCCTGTAAACCCAGTCTGGGCTAATGTCACCTGATCATTTAAAGACTTAGGCCTGGTTCACACCTACGCGCTGTAAAACACTCAACATGTGAATACCAATAATTGCCTATGGGTATGGTTCCCACCTGGGCGTTTTACAACGCGCTGAAAACGCCCTACGCCCAAAGTACAGGAGCTTCTTTGGGGCGTATTTGCCGCGCGTATCCATCAGGATACAACAGGATAGCCCTCGGAAATGCGCGTCTGTCGCGCGGTTCTTTTACCGCAAATCGCGGTAACGCGCGGCACAAAACGCGCATATTCCATACGTCCAGGTGTGAACCCAGCCTAAGCCTTACATCCATTGCAAAATCCGACAGATTCCATTTTGCGATTCTTGGCCTAAGCTGGTTGAATAGCAAATGATCCATCCCAACTTTCGATATCTAAATGGATGTGGCAAGCTGCATGAAACGTCTTAATGCTCTGCACAGTTTTAATCAGCAGAGTAAAGCTGATTGAGACTCCTTATATGACTGTAATAGGGACATTGGACTGTCCGCTTCTGTGGGTCAGGAAGTACACGGCACAAAAGAAACCAGTTTAATACATCTAGAATTCCATTCAAGAATCCGGTCTGAGTGGGTGACGCAATGATGGCAAGATCGAATGCTCTGCTAAAAGATTTTCACCGTGTATGGCCAGCTTAGGTCTTAAACAGCTATGTACAGGCTATGTGTTTATTACTGAGCTAGTTATTAATCACAGAACATCACTCTGTGACTTCTCAGGTTGAAACGTGTCACACAGGGGTAATAGTAATCCTTGGCTGGTGGACAGGTTGAGGTGAAATATTTCTAGCTTTGCTCATGGCATTCCTCAGAGACAGTGCTGGAAGCGCCTCCTTGCCCAAATATTTGCTCTTGATGCTTGAGAGCCATTAAAGACTCATTAAGAAACTTCCATTCACAGAAAGCTGAGAGTAAACTTGTCCTCTTCCAGCAATAACACACAGGTCTCTGGCACATGTCCTGCTACATCAGTGAGCAACAATACCGTTTAATTCTACGGAACACGTAGAGAAAGTACAAGTGCTACTCTTACAAAGTGGCATCTGATAGGCTGGCTTCATTTTGTACTGAAAAGTGAAAGAAAGGTATTTTGGCTCATAGATAACCTCTGTTCGGCCTTCTCAAAAAATAATTCTGGCACAGGGAGGTCCATTTGGTGACTGTCTGCCACTCTTGAGCAATAAAGAGTATTTATTTTCTTTGTTTTGTTCTAGACCTCAACCAAGCTTTAGCTGCATCTAGGCTAGAACCCCTTTAGTGTGTTGTGTCCTTCATGTCGAAGAAATCCAACAAATTGTTACCTCTTCCTCTACCTCTTCCTCTCAGCATCTTCTAGCCAATAGGTTTTATATTTACTAAACTGGTGGGATGTAGAGGCCTAGTTGAACAGTTCAGTCTATTATGTATTTAATCAGACAAGCCCCTGCACTGCAAAGTTGAGGGTGGATCTGAAGGTGATTTGTTTGTGAAGATTTTTAAATGTATAGTAAGCTTTAATTAGGAGTGCCAGAGGTTTGCTCCCTATAAAACATTACTAACTGCTTTTCATGTGTCCCATGTGTCTGTCATGGTGATGCCATGCTAGAGGCCAACACAATATAGTCTTTTAGTGCTCTTATACTAACTGCACCCCTTCTTATCTTCCCGCACTTTCATAGTAGATCTACAATCCTGCTCATTACGATCTTCACTGAGTGGCTTGCCTGATTGTAAAATGTTTAATAATTTTGGACTCGGAGTGCAGAAAGTCCACATCAATTTAATTTAGCAATCCTGTCCACTCTAACTATTTAAAAGTTTTGTTTCTTCGGGTACTAAGGCTCAAAGCCACCACTGAGATTTTAGTTTTGATGTACAAACTCCTACTATGAAAAATGCAGTTGAAAGCTAATTGGTGGCTGTATTCCGAGTTTGAAAACCAGATGGCATAAGAATGGGGATGTTGTCTCCAATGTCCAAACAAAAATCCCTAGGCTCATATTCCCAAACTAGTTTTGAAAGCTATTTTATAACAAAGTCCAAATTAGTAGGTTGGTCCATTTCCTTACTTACACTTGAAAGATAACTAATGAATTGTGATGAACTGCTGCAGGCAGTCTTCTTGGTCCACATTTCCATGACGTATATGTGATTCCCAATCTGCTTAAAAAATGTATTCCAATTATATATAGAGATTAGGCTTTGTATAGGTATGCGTTGTCCACAGGTTTATTGTCAAATAGTTGTAATGGGTCCCTTGTTTTTCTCTGCTCCTTTAGACCAGCAGCCAGACAGAGCTGGAGAACTGGATCACCGCCATCCATTCCGCTTGTGCCACCACCGTAGCCAGGCAGCATCATAAGGAGGACACAGTCAAACTGCTGAAGTCGGAAATCAAAAAACTGGAGCAGAAGATAGACATGGATGAGAAGATGAAGAAAATGGGAGAGATGCAGCTTTCTTCTGTGACGGACAATAAAAAGAAGAAAACCATCCTTGATCAGGTACGCCAACATATAATAGCCAACTTGGGTCAAACGTGACCTTTTATGTTCCGATTCTTTTCTGCCTTCAGTGTAAAAATTGGTTTGCTGGTAGGTGTTGTCCTTAAGTGACTTTGACCTGTATAAAGTACTGCACCATTCTGACTGAGCAAAGCTTTAACACTCCTGGTAGTATTGAACAACCCTCATAAATTCCTATTGTGTGGATGGTTGCGAGGCACCGTGGAAATTTACCAGGAAGCGCTAAAGCTTTGCCTGATTAGAGTGTGCCAGAAGTGCCATGTGAGCCCATTACATACACCTCCTGGCCAAATGATTTTAACAGATTTAATTTCCTTAATAAACCAGGTTTAACCTGTGGTAAGAAGTTCCCTGAGCAAACATTGTTTTCCATCACCTGTGTGGCCCTCAGTCACACCCCATTGTATTGTGACTCTTCAGTGTTCACTGAGCAATAACTCAAATGCGACAAGTCCTTTTTCTGTTGGACATTTTAATAGACAACACCCAAATTATGACTCATTCTTCTTGACATCTTGCTGTGAGGCACTGTGCCTTCACCATAAATGTCTACTTAAGGAAAAAAGTATTTACATTTTTCTTTGTTTCAGATGTGTGAGAAGGTTACACAAACAGAACATATAGAAGGATGAGGCATAATTATTGTAGAACAAACACCTAGAGATTCTTTGGTTGGCCTTAGGCTGGTGAGAGAGCCAGAGATTGTCAGCAGTAATCACATGGGGAATGTCGGCAGCACACCAAAAAGTCCTTTAAGGATCACCAAGCGTTCATTAATTAAGAACCATGTCAAGTTTAAACAAGCGGTTTCGGGTCCAGGACTTGACGTGATTCTTAAAGGAGAACTATGATGTTAAGGCTTTTCCCCATAGTTCTCCTTAGGGTAACGGGAGGGCACAACTAGCGTCCTCCCGTCACCCTAGGCTCAGTATACGGCGAGCTGTAGCTCGTGGTATACTGAGACGCCGCAGCTGAAGCGGATCCTGACAATTATGTCTGGATCCGCCCAGCTGCATGACTGACAGGTGGCTCTGCTTATCTAGAGGCAGAGCCAGCTGTACCCTCCCCCGTCCGTTCCGCCAATCAGCGCTGGCGGATCGAAGCGGGGAGGGGGGAATCCAGCCCCTCCCCTGTCACAGCAGAGATCTGTGACAGGATCGAGAGGTGAGCGAACGCCGGTATGTGTTCGCTCACCTTCCGATCTACTAAGCGGACCTGTGACAGTCTCATTGTCACAGGTCGGCTAGAACTATGAGGTGAGTGAAAAGCACTCACCTCCATAGTTCTCCTTTAATAAATGAACACTTGGTGATCCTTAAAGGACTTTTTGGTGTGCTGGTGACATTCCCGATACGATTTGTGCAACAAGCGGCGCCATGCGCAGTCACTACAAGCACCCTTCCCCAGCAACTGTGATATCCGGTAAGGATTCCAACAAAACTTTTTCACACATTCGGATTTTCAGCAGTGACACAACTTCCGTGCAGGCTGGTAACCTGTAGTTCTGGGCATGCGGGCCAGACAGCGCTGCAGTTACAAATGTTACTGAATAAGGGCCTGTGTCGATCTGGCTTTTGTTTGCTTCAGGCTGTATTTGCATCCCTATAGTCTCTAGTAATGCAAAACCTGCTTTAAGCAGGTCAGAAGGAGGTTAAATACACTGGTCAATAAATTGTGAATGATCTTAGAAATCTCTCCAACTGATGTCATACTCATGCTATTGACACAAGCCCAAAGCCTGTTCACTTAAGCCCTAAACTACGTGAAATGGACCATCTTTGGAGAGCAGCTATAAATAATAAAAAACTGCTGATGGTATAAATCTAGAGGTACACATAAGTGCAGCAACTCTTCTGCCATGCACAAAAGCCAAGCCGTTCTGACAGACAAAGCTCCAACAATTCTAGGAAGTGTCTTAACATGCCACTAAGCCTCATATCTATGATGGACAACCTCACTGGCTAATAGGAATATTCCGAAGCTTTGCCTGACAGAACAAGGTGAAATTCGTCCATAAGTGGGTTTGGAAAGCGGCTGCAGGTATGTGTAGGCACCTCTACTTGCACCAGTTTTTTTTCCTAATGAGAGTGGGTCACAGTTCTTTACTTGGCTCTAATATTTTAGTTTTAAGTTCAGTGAGACTTCTTGTTTTAAGTTATTAGGGTCTCTTCCTTGTGCACCCAGACTGTTCTTGTCTGGCAACAGCTGCCGATGGGGGATTGTCTTGAGCTGAAGGGTTACTTAAAGAATTTGCCGGATATCAATCTTTTTATTTAAACCTTATTAACAATAAATTTCAGTAATCAAAAATAATATTTTATGTATCTATTTATAACTCCGTTTATTCAGTTTCTGTTCTCTTTGTGACAAGTTTTCTCTTTCGGCAGATCTTCGTCTGGGAGCAGAACCTCGAGCAGTTCCAGATGGATTTGTTCCGCTATCGCTGCTATCTTGCCAGCCTGCAGGGGGGCGAACTGCCAAACCCAAAACGCTTACTGGCTTTTGCAAGCCGACCGACAAAAGTTGCCATGGGCCGCCTGGGAATTTTCTCTGTGTCCTCGTTTCATGCGCTGGTAATTTTCATTTCAACTTTCCTTTTAAAGTACATATTTGTATGCAAAAAAATTGTTACATTTGAAGGGTTTGGCATTCCTCAACAACCGCCAGTCTTAGAAAATATGGCCCGATATCTGCTGAACCTGTAATTAAGGCCATTGCTCAGGCACTTCCTGTTATAGGGCGACAACTCTCTGTTCCTGTCTCCCAATTGTCCTTCTGTGTTACCCTCTCACATGAGCTTCCAATGAAGACTTTAACACACATTACATGGGCATGGCTCACCTTCCAGAATCCTGCCTTGAGAAACGCCACGCAGACATCATTGGAGTGCATGAACGTGGATGCAAAGAGATGGCAGAAGATCAGTAGCACTGAGATGCAACAAAGGATGGCAGTTTTGTACGACAAGCATTGTTTTATGCAAAGTAAATGTCATTTAGTTAGGGTTTTTTTTTAAAATCATTGCAGATTTCCACGGATCTCCCTGTTCCCGGGTATGGCAGTAGCAGGAAGTGATTGCCAGGGAAACAGGTGTTGGAGAACATGGGCAGTTAGATTGCCAGCTTCACTCCCACAGGCAATCTGCCTTCTGTTCCTTGCACGTGAAAGTCATTATCCTGTACAACGCTTGTGTTCCGTTTCCCAGTTCTCAGAATAGCACGAACGCTCTCTACCTGAATGTTTGGATGTATGGCCTGTGTACAGAGGCTTTAGAGAGCACTTAGTATTCATCACCTTCTGCGTTCCTCACATTGAAGATCGGCAAATCGTTTAGTTAATGTGTGAGAAAGTATTGAAACAAAAGCAAAGAGAATTCTATAATTGATGCTTCTGGCAGGTGGGTGTGACGGTTTTACATGAATCTGTTACTTTATCATGTACTGTTCCCCTGCACAGCAATAAAACACCATAAAAGAACAGCTTGTAGGTGGGAGACCTTCCACACTGCAAGATCATCGGATAGCTCCGGTGCTGCTTTATAGCCCTCTGTAATAAAATTGTTTGGCTTATTAGTTTAAAATGCAGAATTATATTGCTTGAACAAGGAAAAGAGTATAAAGTAAAGTATTTTTACCCACATCAAAGTGATTAAAAGAGGAACTGCCTGCACATACAGTAACTGCAAAACAGATGGTTATGCATTCTTCAGCTGTCATCTTCCAGTGCAAAGTGAACCTGTCATCTTGAAATACTCTAAATAATTGCTAAGCAAGCCCTTCACACAAGTTCTAAGCAGCATTGTCAGTCCTGCTTGGTTCTCCTCTACTAGACTACAGAACACCTCTCCATATGTGTTTGAGATGACCAGGGGTGTCCTGTAGTCTACAGAGGAGAACTGAGCAAGGATGACAACAGGAAGTTAGGAGCTCACTGGATTTCTGGTAGGAGCAGCTGATATTTGTCTATATTAGCAGCAAAACCAAAACCTGGGTAAATGTTGATGCATGTCAGAAATGTACTGCAAATGTTTTTTGTTCAGCCAAGTTCCCTTTTACATTTATTGTGGTTGTGTATGCATGGATTTCCAGTAGAAATGGTGCATTTTCTCTTTGATTTTAAAAGGTTTGCCGCTTCCCTGCCCCCCCAATTCTGCCAGAGCGGATAATTTTATATTTAGCTCTTTTTTTAAATAAATTCTTTATTTATAATTTTTTCAAAATAGTAGACAGACAATCAATACAAAAAATACAGATAAGCATCGTATAGATCATACATAAGGCATTTCAGGAAAATACGCAAGGAATAACATGGGGTCGGTATTCAGCGTCGGTAATCTCACATCCTGTCAACATTAACTGGCGAAGTGTGCCCCTGCATACCATATACAGATCTGTGAGCACTAGGCCCTTCATATGTCTATACTTAAAATTAGAAATGATGTAATAAGAATGAGATAAGAAAAGGGGGGGGAGTGAAGAGGAACAGAGGGGTAGGAATATTAGCGAGGGTAGTGGGGGGGTGGGGAAGGGGTCCCAGATAATTTCCATCAAGCCTACAGAGGTTCCTTTCATAACTGGTACATGGCCCATTGGTCTGCCTCGCCAACCCTGCCGGTATAAGAGGTCAGTATACGCATGCAAGCTCGCATCTCCACCCCAGCTAGGCCGATATATTTAGCTCTTGAACCTATAGCTCAGCACTGGATGGCTGTGTCCCTCCTTTCTATCTCATCTGAATGGCTTATTGCATTCATCTCTACTTTACTTATAACATCCTGTGATGCTGCTGCCCTATT